CCCTGCCATGGACAGGAAAGAATGCTGGGGTCAAATGACCCTGGCTAGGTGATTGTCTAGCCTCCTTTTGAAGACCACCAGGGTAGGAGCTAGCACCACTTCTCTTGGAAGTTGGTTCCAGCTCCTAGCCTCCCTGACTAGGAAGTAGCTCCTCCTGATGTCTAGCCTGAATCTACTCTCAGTCAACTTATGTCCATTATTTCTTGTTACTCCCAATAGTGCTTGGGGGAACAGGGACTCTCCCACTGCCTGCTGGTCCCCCGTGGCAAGTTTTTAGATGGCCACCAGCTCCCCTCTCAGTCTTCTCTTGTGAAGACTGAACAGATTCAGGTCCCATAGCCTTTCCTCATAGGGCTTGCCCTGCTGCCCCCTGATCATGCGAGTGGCCCTCCTCTGGACCCTCTCAATGCTGTTCACATCCCTCCGCAAGTGCGGCACCCAGAACTGGACGCAGTACTCCAACTGCAGCCTGACCAGTGTCGTATAGAGGGGGAGGATCACCTCCTTGGACCTACTCGTGATGCATCTGTGGATGCATGACAAGGTGTGGTTAGCCTTCCTGACCATGTCCCCACATTGGTGCCCCATGTTCATCTTGGAATCAATATTGACTCCAAAATCCTTTTCTGCCTCTGCACTGATGAGAAGGGAGTTCCCCAGCCTGTAGGTATGCTGCTGGTTCTTCCTCCCCAGGTGCAATACTTTGCACTTGTAAGTATTAAATCCCATCCTATTCTCATCTACCCACCTCTGTAACCTGTCCAAATCTAGTTGTAACCTGTCCTTCTCTTCTACCGTGCCCACTTCTTCCCACATCTTGGTGTCATCTGTAAATTTGAACAAGGTGCTTTTCACCCCTTTGTCCAAGTTACTGATGAAGATTTTGAACAGTGCAGGCCCAAGGACCGAGCCCTTGGGAACCCCACTGCCCATCTCCCTCCAGGTCAAAAATGACCCATCCACTACCACTCTCTGGGTGCGGCCCTCCAGCCAATTTGCGACCCATCTGACTGTGTAGGCATTGACACCACAGTCACCTAATTTTTTTAATGAGAATGGGGTGAGAGACAGTGTCAAGGCCTTCCTAAAGTCCAGAAAGGCTACGTCCACCGCAACACCTGCGTCAAAAGATTTTGTGACCTGGTTGTAGAAGGCAACCAGGTTGGTCTGACAGGACCTGCCTCTAATGAACCTGTGTTGATTGCCCCTGAGCATAATCTCCCCTGATGGTCCCTTGCAGATGTGCTCCTATAATTTTCTCAAAGAGCTTTCCCAGGACTGAGGTAAGACTAACGGGCCTATAGTTTCCTGGGTCCTCCTTCCTCCCTTTTTGGAAAATCGGGACCACATTGTCCCTTTTTCACTCCTCTGGCACCTCGCCAGAGCACCACAAGTACTTGTAAAGCTGTGCCAGGGGTCCCGCAATGACTTCTGCCAATTCCCACAGCACTCTGGGGTGGAGACCTTCAGGACCTGCTGATCTGAACATGTCTAGTCCCACCAGAAATTCCCTGACTAGGTCCTCACTATCTATCTATCTATCTATCTATCTATCTATCTATCTAATTTGGTGTCAGGAATTGCAATTGTTATTTTTTTAAACCAAATTTTTTATTTTTGATCAACCAAAAATATATAACAACACATGGAACTGAATTTATTCATATCACACTATCTCTGCAAACTGTACCATGTATTTGCATAGTATCATAATTTAGTAAATAAAGTAGTTACAGCTGAATTTAGAGACCTTGAAAAGAGGCTCTGAGCTAAAAAGTTTCTAATCCTGCTGTCCATACTCAGGCAAAATCCCCACTGAAGTCTTTGCATTTTTCCAAATAAGGAACCCAGGTTTATTTTTTTGTATTTATAGGGATTGCCCTGTGGTCATTTCAGTTTTTGCCATTTAAACTTCATGCAGGTGTTAAATTGACTTATTTTTCTGATGGCTCTGTCCAATTATTTTTAAGCAAATAGGCACACTATTCAATATGTCCAAGCCTGATACCAGCTGAGGCTATGAATGCCTGCAGTTGATCCCATCTAAATTCCAAATGTGACAGTCTGTAATATATTATTAAAAACCTTTCTGATACATACAGTACATGAATATGTCATAGATAACATATGGAAGGGTTTTGAACTCAATTTATCACATAAAATTTGCTGAGATGGAGACCCATTACTGAATGTAGCCTACTGTACCTCAGTCTTATATGTGAAAGGAGTATGAGCATGAAAATATACGCATGTATGCCAACTAATGACAAAGAGCTATACAGTTCTGAAATACCTAAATGAAGGCATTTGTTAATGAAATACAGGAAGTTAAGCATTGATACAAGATGGAAGAAGAGCTTGACTATGCATGCTTGACTTAGAGTTGCCATTCTTTATGCTGAGAGAAATTCCTGGCTGTATCATAAAACATCCTAATAAAGTTGTCCAAACTAAATATGAGTGAGAGGATGTCAACTGCTATTTCAAACTGCATGCATTCAGTCTGAATCAAAGAAAATGTTAATCTGTGTCAAGAAACTGAATTAAATAAATGTTGACTGTGTTGATATCAAAGATCAAGTCAGAGTTACACCATGAATGAAGCGGGAACATGTACCACAACATCATGATGTGGTTCTAAATATAAAGCTAAATATGGAAATGAATAGGAAATAAAGCAAGAAATACAATGTTTGGGAAAGAATTTAGGCATGATTTGAAAAGATAATTACAGACAAAAGGAAAGTAAATGTAGCAACAGGAAGAACAGAATAATTATGTGGTAATTAACAAGAATTCTCTATAGTTCTTTGGAAAAATAACAGATTTCAGGTTAAAAATGAACATCACAGAAATGTTTTAGCAGTAACTTTTCAAATACTTTAGAGTAGGAAATGATCTCAAATTCTAACCTACAGTCTAATTCAGTCACTAGATTTCTCAATGTACTATTTTTTTTAAGAAAAGTTCATGGAATGGAAATTATTCTTAAATCTTTTTCACTGGTATTATTGTTGTCAGTCTAAACATCATGAATCTTTTAGAAATAAATAAAGGTCTTGCTTCCAAAGAAAAAAATATGGTAATATATTTTATTATAAAGCTAGGTATTTTTATCTCAATTAGCACAATTATGTCATCTAAGTTTTAAACAAATGTCTTATTATAAATTATATCAATTTATCTGTATATGGGTACTTGGTCTCATTTGGGTATGAATAATTAGATTTGAATGCATCTAAAGTACTAGAAAATGTATATCAGATGTGAAGTTATATGGCATTCCAAAGATAACATTTTCTAGATTGCAGTATGTCTGGTATGTGATTTGACCTATGAGTGCTACATCATGAGGAATTAATCCTCTGCTCGGTGAAACAGAGGCAAACACATATTTGATATTCTTGTTAAACTTTAGCAGACCTCCTAAATTAAAAACATTCTCCTAGATTTTTAGCAAAGACTTGATAAACTCATTGGTTTCTAAAATGTAATTGGCATTTTATTCTGGGTGGCTGAAATCCATTATCCTTATGGGATCTTTTAAGAAAATTCCCAAAATGCATTACAAACAATAGCATATATAGGGATCACTCACATACCCGTGAAATGGGGGCCTCTCTCACATCAGGGTTAGGCACCTAGAATCCGTATACAGTCATTACAAACTGCTGCTTCCAAAGATGAATCCAAATCACTGGACTTGAGCTGGGATGTGTCTACAGTAAACTACCAGGAAATGGTAGGCATAGGAATGTATCTGACTTCCTGCTCTTCCTCAGGATTAGGAATCTGGCTCATGGCTATACAGTGGCCACCACTTCATCTTGGAATTCAGAAGCACATAACAATGACAGCACTTATCCTTCTTGAATGTTGGCTGATTGTGGGCTGCCCACATTTTAGTCTAGTGGTGGAAACATTCATCCAAGAAGTAGGATACCTAACCATGTAATATAGGTTACCCTGGGTTACAATAGGTGAGATCCAAGCAGTAGACATCTAAGTCACAAATGCTCCAGATCAACCATGCTGTATGAAAACCCAAGAGGTTTTCACCCACTGCACATGGTTGATCTGGAGCATTTGTGACTTAGATGTCTACTGCTTGGATCTCACCCATTGTAATTATGCTTCTTAGGATGCCTTCTATGAATGCTGGCATGTATCTCAGAACATTGTCTACAAACAGTGTCACACTGGTTCAAATTGACTGTGATATGACTTTCTGGATCTTTACTCTTCTAGAAGAAATCATCCAATGTTTAGAGGGTTTTAAGCTGCCTTGAACAAATGATGAAAAAGCAGAAGTTTTTAAAGAAGAAATTGCCTTTCCTCTCTGATAATTATCTTTGCAGATGGCAAATGGGACATTGTGATGACGATAATACTTCTGTAATGGCTTTCATTCAGTTATCTTAAAGTGCTTCTCAGTCATTAATTAGTTAACATCATCCCCACAATTAGTTAACAATATCCCCATGAGCTAGATGAAAGTCATTTCCATCTATCCACTTATTACTCAAAGTGATGGGCATCATATAAGTGCTAGTAATACAAATTATTATTATTGCATAGATAATTTATATGTTGTACTAGTCACGGTAACTAGTACAGATACGACTAGAAGCTGTGACTTCCAATTCCCTTTCTATGGCTATGTCTATGCGTGATGCTACATTGCCATAGAGATGTTCTGCAGAGACGTAGCGTCGACAGGCAAAAACCATGATGCCGACGCTATGCCACCATAGCAATGAGCTACCTCGTTATAACGCATTGCTACAGCAACATAGCTGCTAAAAATAACTGTGCGCCATAATTTAGTACTTGCTAAAGCAAATACTAAATGACGGCATAGTAACAACTGTGCCATGGGGGGCATGTGTAGATGCACACTATTAAACTGAGCATTAAAGGACTTAGTATTGATTAATAACAATTATGATCCATAAAATGCAGAGATTGTGTTATTAGTGAATTGTATCCTTTTCTTTTAGGTTATTCAATACTTCAAGCTATTATGGAAAAAGCAGGACAAAATAGTTGGCAAGTCAGTGCCATCTGTGTGGAGAATTTTAATGATGCCAGCTACAGGCGGCTTTTAGAAGACCTGGACCGAAGACAAGAAAAGAAATTTGTAATAGACTGTGAAATAGAGAGGCTTCAGAATCTTTTAGAACAGGTAATACCTGCTTTTAATGTAACTGTAAACACATTACTGTAGCTCCATAAGAGCTGCTACTAAGCTTTGCCTTTCATTTATTTTGCCACGGAGAAAAGATCCACCAATTCCCACACACCCTTTTATTCAGGGGCCAGTATATTTTTCCTTCTACTTTTTCCCTATCTTCACATTGATATGAAATTTCCATCAGAGCATCCAGCTGGTCAGAAAGAATAGCCACCTCCAAGACTGCAGGTGTGTGAGCCATGGGGCTCTGAATGATCCATGCAGCTCTCACATTAGCCCAGAGTCTTAATGCATCTGTGCCTTATGAATTTTGAATCAAGGTCTGTGGGTTCACAGAACGACATGCTGATACCGAGTTAGAAAGTGCCCCCAAGTTTATTTTAAGGAAAAAAAGAATTCTTGTTTTGTTTAAAGAAATCACTTTTTTTTGGTATTCAAGACTATTTTACATTCTTCAAAAAGCATAACAAGCATATTTCAAACCATAGAAGGTCTTTAAATAATTATTACACTCATTTAAAGGGGAGTTGTATGACAGTTACCACAGCATTTGTGAACATGAAGGAAAGTAAAAGAAGTTGGGGGTAGTGTGCTACCTTTTCTTCGTTAATGAAGGTTGCAGTAGTGTAAGGAATAAGAATAAGAATAGATTATCCTATGTCTGATACTTTATAGTCATCTTCATCTGTATAAATTGGGAGTAATATGCTACCTCCCTGATCTGGAGAATCCTGCCACCTAAGTGTTGTTATTTCTTGAATAATAGGAAAAATAATTATTTGGAAAGAGCATTTTGCTAAATTATAGGAAAATAATTTAGGGTGGTAGATTCTTTTTGTTTCTCACATAATCCCACATACTATGTTAATGCACTGGAAGTGTATTTTTCCATGCCTTCTGCTACAGCCTAAGTATTACAGTGAACGAATGCCCTCTAGTGGCATTTAGCTTAGTATAGTATTTGCTTCATATTTTTTTTAAATGTTAGGTATTTCTGTAAGATTTAGTGTTTAAAACTTTAGTGATACGTCTGCTGTTATGGACATATAAATATAGTATGACATTGTGATACTGAAATATATAAAAACTGTTTTCTAAAAATAATTTTAGATCAATTTTATTGTTGTCAACTTCAGAAAAGTAAACAAAAAGAAAAAAAGGAAAAGGGAAGAAATTAAGAATGAATGGTATGATTGAATTTAGGCAGGTCCTATGTATCATTTGGACAATTACTTTTTGAAAGGTTTCACTCCTTGTTCAGGTAAGATAAGGGCATGATCCTGCACCACTGAAATCAGTGGGCATTTGCCAAAATTTGTGTTTATAGAGGCTAGGATTCACACTGGAGAATTCAAAATAGTGGTAGTTTTGAAAAATCAGACATTGACTGCTTTCATTTTTCCTGCCAGCAGTCCCTCAAGGGCAGGTGTGGTGGCTTCAAAGTAGACTAACATTAAGCTGTTTTTCTCTTTATCTACAAAGATGACTTAATTAAATTTGTCTCCCTTATAAACCAACATTCTTTTTTGCTCCAATCCTCTTTAATGGAGGAATGAACATTAGTTATGACTATTTTTATAATTCTTTGAGGGGTACAAGTAGGCACTCTGTAGTGCTTTTTGAAAGCGAATTATTCTGAAAGCAAATTATTAATTTAGTAAGTAAAAATCTTATTAATGAGATCTTAATGCAAAGTGCTTTGGTCTTAAATCTTTGCTGAGGAATGGGGAAAAACTGACGTTTTTGTGTGTGCAGATTATTACTATGTCTTAAAGAAGCACAGGCTTTGGGGTTTCTTCTGTTCTGAACAGTTCTGCCTAGAAGGGCTTGTATGCTTTCCTACTTCAGGATCTCCAAAATTCTAGTTTATGGTGATTTCAGTAGCTGTGTAAAGACAAAAACAAAAAGAAGATAATTGTTTATATTTGAAATGATTCCTAGCACCTATTCCTTGAGAGGATAGCCCCTACCAAGCCTTGATCATTAGGGTTGAAAAGAGCGTTATGCAGCTTCTACTATTGCAATTAACAGCTAAAAAACTTGAAAATTAATACTGTTTAATTTATGTAAAATGAGTTACTTAAGTTTCCTGAAGATCCTATGAAACAGCCATCTCATCTAAAGTCCTTATATTGATAAGTATTGTATAAAAACAAGGTTAGTCTTTTGCACAGCAGCCCTTTGTGGAAAAAATAGAGAATATGTTGGAAGGATTTGAAATGAGCATTTATGCTGTTGCCTGAAATATAAAGTTCCTGCATTTCTGACTTTCCCAATTCCCTGCTGATCCATTTTATCCAAATTTATTTTAAAAAGGTACTCTTTTGTAAGAAATAAATTAGACTTAATTGTTCTATAAGTGGGTTCTCTTAGAAGAAGACCATGTGATACCATAAAAGGTCTTCCTCGAATCCATAGATACATATGATCAGGTGTAAATTAACTTGCATTCTCTGGCCTTTATTCACATACATACAAATAGATATGTCTGAGAATTTTCCTGTGAAACATTTTCTTTGCAAAATGCTAATAAGTGAAATATCATGTGGACTGAGATTGACCACAGGATTTCTGCATGTGGGGCTTTGAGAAGGTCCAGGCCATGCAGCCTGCCCTGGGTCCAGGGCCTTCAGGCCTTCTGGTATAGAACTGGCATGCTGGGAGACTGGAAGATCCAAAACCCCAGGAAGTGTTCACTCTAGTTCAGGCTTTAAGGTCTAGGTTGAGAAAGTGAGTTTGAAAGCAACACATCATGAACACTTTCTTGGAATCAGAGAGACCCTAGAGTTCCAGCACGTGTAGTCCCATAAGAACCCTACAATTAGAACTGCCCCAGGGTGGGCAACCACATGGATATTCAGGCAAGGTAAAGAAGTTGCACCTATTGTGTAGTACACATGCAGAAAGGGCTCTATAGCCATAACAAACAGATGGTCAGGGAACATACGGTGCTGTAAAAATGGCAGATACCACTCTAAGATAACTCAACAGGGTACCTAGAGAGGTGGTAGAATCTCCATCCTTGGGGGTTTTTAAGACCCATCTTGACAAAGATCTTGCTGGAATGATCTAGTTGGCAATGGTCCTACTTTGAGCAGGGGGTTGGACTAGATGACCTCCTAAGGTCACTTCCAATCCTAATTTTCTATGATTCTATGATTCTACAATAACCCTGGATGGATGTGGTATCAGACTTCAGCAGTGTGGGTTAGAGCGCTATAATGAACCTTTGTATCACATCACATCGCAACTCACAGTAGGTCATATTCTGCTGGCAACCCATGGGACTTTGCAGTGGCTTGCTCACCCACCCTCCCAGGGTGGCACTCTAGCCTCAGCCAGAGCTCAATTTCTCTGCCTGAGTGCCAGGCCAGCCCCAGCCCCAGTCTGTCACTGACAAAGAGTCAGAAAAGCCTCTGCCTCTAGGCCTACCTGTATCCTTCCTTTGGGTAGCATCCACACAAAGAAAACTGCTTATTCTTGAATATCTTTTATTGCTTATTGTCATGGGTGCAGGTAAGCAAGTACTGAATGTGCATCTGTTGCTATTTTCCTCTGCTCACGGTTAACCTCTCATAAGAACTGAGTCATCTGCATTGATTTCTGGCAATGGGCAGAAAATAATGTACTTGAACATCCCCAAAATGTACATTAGCACACCCACACATACTAATATATAGCATCACTACTTTCCAACTTCTCTGGGAAAACTTAATGCATCTGTAAAATGTAGACTGTGAGAAGCACTTACAGTATATGTGCTTCTCCTACTCTCCCTGTGCCCAACATAGGATGCAGGACCAGAAAACTACAAGTCCACAGACACAAAGCCTCAGAAATCTTGGATGCATTCAATAGCCTATAAAGAAGCAAAAAGTATTTCTCTATTCACGTCTTAAAGCCAATTTCTAATAATTTTGGTCACTCTAGTAATGGTTTGGAACCATGTGCATTCGATAGAAAGCTGGTTCAGACAGTCTGTTACAGTGTTTGGGGTATGCTGCTAGGAGTCCCATAGATGTATATATAGGGCAGCTAGCTTCAGGAACTCTTTTTTTTTTGCCAAGCTTGCACACTGTTTGTTTCATTAATCACCATTTTACAGTTGTCACTTTTCATAGCTATATGAACAGTGATATCTAGTGGTCTTGCTAGCCTTAATGTAGTGTTCTTAGAGCAATCCCCCCCCCCCCCCTTAAAAAACCCCCCAAGTCTCT